TGTGTTTTTTTAAGGCCAAAATGATTATTAAATAAAATGATATTAAACAAAACAAGACATTTGCATGCATGTATGCTGTAAGTTAGTTATAGAATATCATCTGCTCACGGAGAACAGCTTTCCGTTTTCCGTTTAAGACTGGGACAATTCAATTTTAAAGTCGGACCTTTTATTAAATGTAAATCATCTCGTTAATTTATTTTCCTGTCTTTTCCTTTTGTTAATTTTTGTTCCCCTTTCCTTATATTGTTGCCTTCTGCACTGAAATATGAATCAGAAAAACCACGACAAAAATAAGGCTTTTGAATGAATCTCGATGTCATTATATATATTTCCATGCGTCTACTGTCTCACGTTTGGCACACTTTCTGTGTTGATTTCTCACAGTTTGAGGGCGAATTGATAATATCTGCAAGACTTGAAGATTCAAAGGGCATTTTTAAAGTTATCTCTTGAAATTTTTCACTTAAATCGTAACTGATAATCGTCGTTTCAAGCACATTTTTCAACTTTTATCGTACCACGAAGTTCCGAGACAAAGGTTCAGATGCCCATTTTCCTGAATTTGAGCACAGTATTAAGAAAGAATTTAAGAATGTAAATAGATAACATGTTAAAGAGATGACTGCAGGTTAGGACTCTGCCTATATTTTGCGATCAAATCCATCTGCCGAGTTGCAGCGCGGATGCAAATACCCTTCTTGAAACACACGATACATGAACGTACATCGACCTCGGCGAACTGGATGTTTTCTCGAGGGTCCGCGCTCGGTGTAAACAAAAGCAGCAAGTGCGAGTGACCGAGCCATTTTCATTCCCAGCTGTTCCCGAGAAGTAAACCATTATCCCGAAGTAGCCATGGCAGATTCCGTTGCTCCAGCCAAATCTCCAGCTAAGAAGAAGGCCACAAAGCCTAAAGTGCCTGCTGCACACCCCAAGTACATAGACATGATCAGCGCCGCCGTTTCAGCCCTGAAGGAACGCGGGGGCTCATCCAGACAGGCCATTCTCAAGTACATCATGGCCAACTACAAAGTGGGCAACGATGCTAATTTCGTCAACGCTCACCTGAAAATGGCCCTGAAGAATGGTGTTAAGAAGGGTGCTCTCAAGCAGGCTAAGGGTACAGGCGCCAGTGGCTCCTTCAAGCTTGGAGAAAAACCCAAGACCGAGAAGAAGCCTAAAGCCAAAAAGGTTGCCAAACCCAAGGCAGCTAAACCTAAGAAGACCGCTGCTAAGCCCAAGACACCCGCCGGTGAGAAGAAGGCCAAGACTCCTAAGAAGAAGGCAGCAGCAGCAGCCAAGAAACCAGCCGGACCCAAGAAAGCCAAATCTCCCAAGAAGAAGGCGACACCCAAGTCCCCAAAGAAGGCTGCAACCAAACCCAAGAAGGCCAAAACTCCTAAGAAAACAGCAGCCAAGAAAACCAAGACACCCAAGAAGGCAGCAGCAAAGAAATAAGCAGTCTGAGCATCCCTGTCAGTCTGCATCCAAGCTTATAGAAAAGAAAAAGCCCTTTTCAGGGCTACCAAAATTTTCAGAAAAGATACCTCAGTTACGGTCGTTAGAAAATGTTTCAACATGTATCTCTATCTCAAATTCTATATTTTGTTAAACAATTTCAAATGCAGCATGCCCTCTTGAACAACAACAAAATAAAAGTATTTGAATGTGTATATTCCTGTAAAAAGAGAGAGAGAGAGAGAGGGGGAAGAGAGAGAGAGAGATTTGATAATTATAATATTTAGAAACAGAGAGCATGATTTCCTATATCAATGCATTAAATGCAGATATGATTTTATTTTTATCATACATGTAGACATGATAGCAATGTAATTCCATTCCAAATTCCACATTCATTGTATGATTTCTACTCATTTTTTTTTTTATTCTTTTTCTTTCTTTTTTTTCTTTTTCTTCCCCCCCCCCCCCCATTTCCTTTATTCAAAGCTAGCTCTTTTATCAATTTGAAAATGAAATGATGACTTGTTCAAGGACTCTTAAGATTTATTTTTGAAATGCAATGCATTTAATGCATCTGTCGGACACCCTGTACATTATCACAAGCCTCGTGCGTTGTAGATATAACACATGAAACACAAGAAGCTGCTTACAAAATTCCTTTCCCCTAAACAGGTTCTTATAAGTGCAGGATATGATTATATCTTTAAAAGTCGTGGAAGAAAAGAAAGAAGACGCACACACACACACAAAGTGAAACCTAGTTCATTAAATATTCAAATTAATACATATACAGTCTGTCTAACCTCTTTTTATAAAACACTGATTCTTGGATAAAGGATAGAAAATAATAATTAATATTAATGAATAAAATCCTTTTTGATAAGCATTAATTTTATTAAAATAGAAAGGTTTGTGTTTGTTGATACATTAAATGAGACATTTTTAGGATGAAAACTACTGCTCTGTGGGGAAAAGCAGGTAATCCAACAACAAAATGATAATTATAAAATAATTATAAAATATAATAAAATGATAAATTAAACAAAAATAAATAAATAAAAAACCACGGAAGAGTATATCTTTTATTTCAATCATTTGAATTATCATTTGATATCTTAGCTGCACACCTTGTCCAATAAGTCATAAAAACATTGAACTGTCATAATACCGTGATTTTTAAAAAGAAGCACAAAATTCTTTGCAAAATGTGGATCGAAATGATTTCAGCAAAGACCAATCGAAACACGCTGTGCTTAGCTAATCATAAGGTGCCTTGTATAACACAGGGACCAATTAAAAACATTCTTACTACACGCGCGGTGATTTCAATGTAAGATCGGATCCGCAGGTCACAGAACAGTATAAAATTATACCTGACACGGCGTACCAATCATTCATTTGATCTGAACACAGAGAAGATGGCACGTACCAAGCAGACCGCAAGAAAATCTACTGGAGGCAAGGCCCCACGAAAACAGCTGGCTACCAAGGCAGCCCGCAAGAGTGCACCGGCCACCGGTGGGGTGAAGAAACCACACAGATACAGGCCAGGAACTGTCGCTCTCCGTGAGATCAGGAGGTACCAAAAGAGCACTGAGTTACTCATCAGGAAACTCCCATTCCAGCGCTTAGTGCGTGAAATTGCCCAGGATTTCAAGACCGATCTGCGTTTCCAGAGTTCCGCCGTCATGGCCCTTCAGGAAGCCAGTGAGGCCTACCTTGTCGGACTCTTCGAGGACACCAACTTGTGTGCTATCCATGCCAAGAGAGTGACCATCATGCCCAAGGACATTCAGCTTGCTAGACGTATCCGCGGCGAACGAGCTTAAACACCCTAATCTTGTCTAAGACAAACAAAAACGGCCGTTTTCACGGCCACCAAAACTCCTTAGAAAAGATACCTTCATAATACATCACACCAGAAACGTATATTCTTTATACACAATATAATTCACTTGCAAAAATACACATTCATAGACACGCCAGTTAAAAACTTATTATCGATATGATTCTATATTTAACCTACAACCTTATTGATCATATAATCCAATATTTCAATGACTGGCCTATCATCAAGAAAAAGTTCAGTTTTTCTGTGTTTAAATGTATAAATCTATGTGTTCGGGGGGACTAACTTATGATATTGTTCGATACGATATATCTATATTCTTACATTCAATGGAATCATCAATTAAAATGTTATATCGAAAAAATGAGGCGTTTACATTACATACATGTATTGCCACAAAAGTATGATAACGGTTTATAAACATTGATCAACAGATGTTACAGAGGGGCTTTGTAACACAATTTTTAAAACATTCAAACACAGAGTTTTTAAAGTAGGTTTTTTTTAACCGCAATGAAGTAGATCAATAAATTTTACCATAATAGGCCTTGCATAAAAATAGAAACATATATATATTTTTCTCTTAACTCAACATTAAAAAATACACATTAGAACAAAATGACATTCATTTTTTGATGTCGTTCCAAATACAAAATAAGCATTTTCGTTCATTTGTGGAACCAGAATCGATGCGCAAACAATGTGAAGATAATCTGAGTCTACTCAGTGCTGTTCAGTGTTTTGCATGATATATGTATACAAGTGTGATATTCAGCCTGGTCTGGTGCATAGTCGGGTGTAGATATTTAAGCAGTTTTAAAGGATGAACATTTTCTGCATTTACTCTGAGTTTAATATAGGTGGGGACAACCAAACAATCCAAAAAGAAAAAAAAAAAAATGTTTACAGAAGGAATATCATTGAATCTCCTAACTGTATTTGTGGTCAAAACGAGGATGTTTATCATATTTTTCTTTGTTTGTAAAAGATATATAAGAGCAAGAAATAAGCTTTTTTGACCTACTTTTAAGGCTGGACGAATCGATTTAAATAGACACACATCTGCTGTTATGGGGTACTGACACTTTATATATCTTATGATATGAACTGTCTTATATTTTCAGCAGTTCACAAATTTATCAATGAATCTGGAAGATTTAATTAACATTTTAATTTATTAATCTTACATGTAAATATTATGTACTTAAATCTGTTATTATTATGACAATTGTACTAAGTGTGTCAACTTTACTAACACCAGGGGAAGAACTTGTACGTTGTAATAACTTGTTTCTGTTCCTTTTGCGTTAACAATAAAATATGTTCAAATCAAATCAAGAAAGAAAAACAACGGAACTATCGGCTTTCGGCATTGTTTAAAATATAAAACATTAAAATAATAATAATAATAATAAATGGACTTTTCATTAACTGACTCGGAAAAGAGAAAAGAAAAAAAAAAAAAAAGATTATGATAATATAGAACGAACTTAAACTGTCTGTAATTATGCAAATCAAGGCTTAACAACAGCTGGAAATGAGTGAATGAATGCAGAGCGAGAACCAATCATTACGAGGCTAACTGACTGCCTTCGGGACGTGAAAATTGCACTACCGAACTTTTCAAGATACCTTGTTTTCTAGCGCGTCGTTAATTGGCGCTATATATACCGCGTTCTCGGCGATTCACAGCATTTCAGCAGATTATCTACTGAGTGTATAACAATGTCTGGTCGTGGAAAAGGAGGAAAGGGGCTTGGAAAAGGGGGCGCTAAGCGTCACAGAAAAGTCTTGAGAGACAACATCCAGGGCATAACCAAACCAGCTATCCGCCGTCTTGCACGCAGAGGTGGAGTCAAACGTATCTCTGGACTCATCTATGAAGAGACCCGTGGTGTCCTGAAAGTTTTCCTTGAGAACGTCATTCGCGATGCTGTCACTTACACGGAGCATGCCAAGAGAAAGACCGTCACCGCCATGGACGTTGTCTATGCCCTGAAAAGACAAGGACGTACTCTCTACGGATTCGGTGGTTAGACATCCCTGCCATCTTGAGCTTAGCAGCACAACAACAAACGGCCGTTTTCACGGCCACCAATATCTTTAGAAAAGATGCCTCTCAACAGACGTAAAAATGAAATAAATAATAATAAAAAAAACAACAACAAATTTTACAATTATAATATTGCACAGGGTGAGCGAACTGAATGCAAAATTCGCATCAACAACCTTTCATTCATTCATTCAAAAACTAAACACAATATATATACATATGCTATATTTTCCATTTTGTTTGTTATCAATAACCATGCAGAGATGCATATCCTTGGCTAAATAAACAAACATGATTGATTTTTAAGAAATCACCGTCTAGTTTTGCATAAATTATCCCATGTTTTACCACTTTGGTTGATGTCCCTGACATATTATTCTGACTAGACAGTGATTCCTTACATTTGCATTTCGTTGTGAAATGAAATTGTAGACTTAGATCTTAAAAATGTAAACATAGATTCAAATTACTCCCATGCCAGTTTTAATAGTCCTCGCCCACTGCCGTCAAACACACAGGCAGCCGCCGCACGAGATTTACATGCATATTTGGCCTCCTTAGCGTCAGACACAGAGATGTGCAGATGCGCACGAGATTTGCATGCATATTAAGATTTCAACTCCGCTAGCTTTCAAAGAGTTATCACAGAGCAAAAAAAAAAAAAAAAAAAAAAAAAAAAAATTATGGAAACTTTTCGTGTAATACTTAATGTATGTTCAGTAATAAGGTAAGCAAAGATAATGTTCGTAATCCAGTATTTTTGGAAGTTTGAGTGTCAGATTGCTCATCATATTAGATTTTTAAAGCCTTATTTTAAGGCCGTTTTTAATAGACATCTATTACAAATATGTTTTATGTATTATCCCCTCTCTTCTGAAGATAGGTGAAGCAACATATTTCCTTACTTTATTGTGTACATTGCCGTTTTAATTAAAAAAGCAAATTTGCCATTTAAATGAAACATTTCAAGTAAAGGTTGTATCTAATACTAATTAAAAAAATAAAACACTTCTAGATTCCCAATGTTTCTGGGTTTCCTGATAACAGCACAGAATTTGCACTCTTAGAGAAAATAAAATCTATGTATTTATTAAGTCGAGTTTTCATTAAAAATATAATACATTTCTGTAAACAACCATATTGTTTCTCAACACTGTAGAGAAGGAATCTTTTCGAAAAATTTGTGTGGCCCTGATAAGGGCCGTTTTGTTTGAGTGGACTGCAAGTGTGCAGTTTATTTACTGCTTGTGTACTTGGTGACGGCCTTGGTTCCCTCAGATACAGCGTGCTTGGCCAATTCTCCGGGTAGAAGGAGACGGACAGCTGTCTGGACCTCTCTGCTGGTGATGGTAGATCGCTTGTTGTAGTGAGCCAGACGGGAGGCCTCTGCAGCGATTCTTTCAAAGATGTCATTGACGAAAGAGTTCATAATGCTCATGGCCTTGCTGGAAACACCGGTGTCTGGGTGGACCTGTTTTAGCACCTTGTAGATGTAAATGGCGTAGGATTCCCTCCTCTTCCTGCGCTTTTTCTTATCCCCAGTTCTCTGGGTCTTGGCCTTGGTGACTGCTTTCTTAGCTCCTTTAGATCCGACTTTGGGTGGCATGTTTACAGGTTAGAATAAATCAACCGAAAACTATGAGTCTCAATATTCGCCTCGCGGCTTATATATCACGACAGCGGATAACCGTGGCTAAGTGCTTTACGGACCCTCGAGAAAACATCTATTCTTCGGCGAGCGACAAAGTGTGTAAAATACGATTGCGATGATTGGCTGGACAGTTCAATCCGCCTGCGTGTTTAAATAGGGTGGCGAAGGGTGTTTAGAGTTATTCGTTGATTTGAAATTTTGAGCTTGAACTACTCTTAATACTAAAACAGATCAAAGATGTCAGGACGTGGTAAAGGAGGCAAAGTGAAGGGAAAGGCCAAGAGCCGATCATCCCGTGCGGGACTGCAGTTTCCCGTGGGTCGTATCCACCGTCTGTTGAGGAAGGGCAACTACGCCGAGAGAGTGGGAGCCGGCGCCCCTGTGTATCTGGCCGCCGTTCTTGAATACTTGGCCGCCGAAGTCTTGGAGCTGGCAGGCAACGCCGCCCGCGACAACAAAAAGACCAGAATCATCCCCCGTCATCTGCAGCTGGCCATCCGCAACGACGAGGAATTGAACAAACTCCTGTCCGGCGTGACCATCGCCCAGGGTGGTGTCCTGCCCAACATCCAGGCCGTGCTGCTCCCCAAGAAGACCCAGAAGTCAGCCAGCAAGTAAAAAGTCTGTGTACGACTTGTATATACCAAACGGCCGTTTTCACGGCCACCCAATTTTTTCGAAAAGATGCCTCTAAGATCAGACGCCAAGAAACGAAACTTGAATAATTTTATTATAATAGTAAACACACAATACATGCCATCACATAATGGAATTAAAATTCTATATATGAGTTTAATCTCATGAATGGACTACTATTGTTTAAGAAAACACACTTTACATACAAACGAGAAGAACTTCTGATAATTGCCAACAATTCTATTAAGTTCCCTATCCTAATAAGTACACAGTTTAACAGGTGTACATCAATTTTACATCATTACATCAATCCGTTGCCCTTGAAAAATAATTGAAATTGTCCAGTGTAATTTTTAAGGGAATAATTGGGCACAGAATTTAAGTAATTATTACGCCCTTTCCCTACATTCTTAAAACAAAGATAAAATGGGGTCACAGTTGAATATTTAACGTCGGCAAAATCTGCAAATCAATGAGTTTTGAATTTCTGAGTTTTAAACAATTAAATACAAATTAATCAATGTTTATACGTTTGTGTATATAAATACATGTATTTAAAGTAACATGTAAATCTTTCAGAATTATTGAACAATAGAGAGAAAAGACGTCCATCCTCATAAACTAAATCAGACGCACACGTATATCTACCATGTGAATTTTGTTTAATAATAGTAATAATTATAAAAATAAATAAAAGTGACGAAAATCTTTTCTGACTACACTATAATTTGGACCGATATACCCCAGGTTATACCCCAGGTGAAAAGAAAAAAAAATCGTGTCATATATTTTGCTGCTTTCTAAATATATTGTCTTTGTGTTTTTTTAAGGCCAAAATGATTATTAAATAAAATGATATTAAACAAAACAAGACATTTGCATGCATGTATGCTGTAAGTTAGTTATAGAATATCATCTGCTCACGGAGAACAGCTTTCCGTTTTCCGTTTAAGACTGGGACAATTCAATTTTAAAGTCGGACCTTTTATTAAATGTAAATCATCTCGTTAATTTATTTTCCTGTCTTTTCCTTTTGTTAATTTTTGTTCCCCTTTCCTTATATTGTTGCCTTCTGCACTGAAATATGAATCAGAAAAACCACGACAAAAATAAGGCTTTTGAATGAATCTCGATGTCATTATATATATTTCCATGCGTCTACTGTCTCACGTTTGGCACACTTTCTGTGTTGATTTCTCACAGTTTGAGGGCGAATTGATAATATCTGCAAGACTTGAAGATTCAAAGGGCATTTTTAAAGTTATCTCTTGAAATTTTTCACTTAAATCGTAACTGATAATCGTCGTTTCAAGCACATTTTTCAACTTTTATCGTACCACGAAGTTCCGAGACAAAGGTTCAGATGCCCATTTTCCTGAATTTGAGCACAGTATTAAGAAAGAATTTAAGAATGTAAATAGATAACATGTTAAAGAGATGACTGCAGGTTAGGACTCTGCCTATATTTTGCGATCAAATCCATCTGCCGAGTTGCAGCGCGGATGCAAATACCCTTCTTGAAACACACGATACATGAACGTACATCGACCTCGGCGAACTGGATGTTTTCTCGAGGGTCCGCGCTCGGTGTAAACAAAAGCAGCAAGTGCGAGTGACCGAGCCATTTTCATTCCCAGCTGTTCCCGAGAAGTAAACCATTATCCCGAAGTAGCCATGGCAGATTCCGTTGCTCCAGCCAAATCTCCAGCCAAGAAGAAGGCCACAAAGCCTAAAGTGCCTGCTGCACACCCCAAGTACATAGACATGATCAGCGCCGCCGTTTCAGCCCTGAAGGAACGCGGGGGCTCATCCAGACAGGCCATTCTCAAGTACATCATGGCCAACTACAAAGTGGGCAACGATGCTAATTTCGTCAACGCTCACCTGAAAATGGCCCTGAAGAATGGTGTTAAGAAGGGTGCTCTCAAGCAGGCTAAGGGTACAGGCGCCAGTGGCTCCTTCAAGCTTGGAGA